ACCAGCTAAACAGTGTAATTTCTCCAGGGCGCAAACACCCTGGGATAATGTGGCATGTTTCATTAAGAGCTACATCCACTGTTTTAGCGTGGTGAGATGTGTTCCAAACTGGGCATGCGTACTCAGCAGCAGAGTAGCATAGTGCAAGGGCAGATGTCTTCACTGTGTCTGGTTGTGATCCCCAGGTTGTGCCAGTCAGCTTTTGTATGATATTATTTCTATCGCCCACTTTTTGCTTGATATTCGGGCAGTGCTTCTTGTAGGGCAGAGCACGGTCCAGGGTGACTCCCAGGTATTTGGGTGCGCTGCAGTGCTCCAGTAGGATTCCTTCCCAGGTCATCCTTGGGATGCTTGTCTGTTCTTAAGGTGAAAAGCACATGTATGTGTTTTAGATGGATTAGGGATCAGCTGGTTTTCCCTGTAATAGGCTGTAAGAGCACCTAGAGCTTCAGAGAGCTTCTGTTCAACCATCTCAAAGCTCAAACAAGATCACTCTGCTGGCTGTTGTATTGGATCACATGTCACACACTTCCCAAGTGTCTAGGACTGTGTGATGTATCAGCGAATAATGCATGCAGATCTCAGTAGGGTGGCCTTTTGCAGCTGACAGATGGTAATTTTGTCAGTTCCTATTGTGTTTAAGTGCAGGCCAAAGTCTTTAGGCACTGCACCCAGTGTGCCGATCACCACTGGGACCACCTTTACTGGCTTGTGCCAGAGTCTTTGCAGTTTGAGCTTTAAATCCTCGTATCGTGTCAGCTTTTCCAGTTGTTTCTCTTCAATCCTGCTGTCACCTGGAATTGCAACATCGACAATCCATACTTTGTTTTTTAACATGATTGTGAGTTCTATATTATTATTATTATTATTATTATTATTATTATTATTATTATTATATAACTCCTCTGCCTTCCCGTTTTATCAAGTGCTGTTAAAGTGCCCTGATTTCCCTCTCTTTCTCCTTCCTTTGCATGGCCCTTTTTTAGCCATGCAAGCATCTGCAACTGATATATCCCAGAGGTGGCGAACCTGTGGCTTTCTAGGTTTTGCATGACTACAGCTCCCATCATCCCTGATTATAGGGATGGGGCTGCTGGGAGTTGCAGTCAATGCTACAGCTTCCCAGTAAAAGGACATAGGATTTACACAGATAAACTTGCCCAGCTGTGTGCAACAGTTATATCAAAAACAATGGCACACTTGTGTTGCCAATGGGTGAGACCTGGGAAGCTTTTGTAGGTGGCTTGGGCTTCACCGTTCATGCTTTCCCATAAAGGGGCTTTATTCCTTCTACAACTCCGATCACAGTCCAGGACGATGGAAAACCATGCTAGTACAGCTGTATTCATTAGCTATGCTCCCAGAACACATCCCAGTAGGATCTGGATTTTATCTGAAGATTAAAAGCTCAATAAAGCTTTGATTAAAGAGAGAGAAGTTTTATTCTCAACCCGGCCTTGGTTTGTGGCGTTGTCACTGCTCGTATAAATGAGGTCTCCTTGTCAATAGGATTGCTGCAATCTTTGGGGGTTGTGATGTTGAACACAGACCTCCCTCCCTAGGTCAAATTATATTCAATTGCCTCACCAGGGCCGCAGTGGGGACAAGACATGGCTGGTGAGAACCTTTTATTTTTTTTAACTCCTGTTTTGTGGACAATCGATCATCTGGAGGGGCCCAGCAGCAACTATTTTTGAAACAATATTTCCCTTTTTTGCTAGTTATATTCCATTTTAACCCTTTTAGCCTTCTATGTCCTTTCCAGCCTCGGTGGCCACACGGCCCTCATGGCGTATTTTGTCCCTTTCCCCCATACTAATCACCCTTTCGTCTCTGCCAACCCCAATCCTCGTGGGTGTTCCAGTTCCCAAAGTTGGGAACCCCTGGTATCCATGGATCCTTATTTTATTCCCCAGATGACAGGAGCAGAATTCAAAATGATCTGAACAGATTAGAGAGCTGATTGGCCAAAACTAACAAAATGAAGTACAACAGAGACAAATGCAAGATGCTCCACTTAGGCAGAAAAAAAATGAAATGCAAAGATACAGAATGGGGGACACCTGGCTCAACAGCAGTATGTGTGAAAAAGATCTTGGAGTCCTTGTGGACAGGAAGGTGAACATGAGCCAACAATATCATGCAGCAGCTTAAAAAGCCAATGGGATTTTGGCCTGCATCAACAGGAGTATAATGTCTAGATCCAGGGAAGTCATGTTACCCCTCTATTATACCTTGATCAGACCACACCTGGAATACTGTGTCCAATTCTGGGCACCACAATTGAAGGGAGATGTTGACAAGCTGGAATGTTTCCAGAGGAGGGCAACCTAAATGATCAAGGGTCTGGAGAACAAGGCCTATGAGGAGCAGCTTAAAGAGTTGAGCATGTTTAGCCTTTCTGCTGCCCTGGAGACTAGGACGTGGAACAATGGCTTCAACATGAGGAAAAACTTCCTGACTGTGAGAGCTGTTCAGCAGTGGAACTCTCTGTCCCGGAGTGTGGTGGAGGCTCCTTCTTTGGAGGCATTTAAACAGAGGCTGGATGGCCATCTATCGGGGGTGCTTTTGAATGCATGAACAATAAATAAATGGCTCTTATCCAACCAGATCTCAGAAGGCAAAAGGCTAGTCCATCTGGAAAGATAAGGCCTATGGACATCTAAATCACCGAACATAAAATGTGTCTTCCTGTCTGCGAGAAATTAGGATTCACCACAGCTTCTTTTTCATTGTGCCAACCCAGCTGGCCAATACCTGTCTCAAATCTCATCAATGGATCCCATACTCAGGATGGAAGGACAACAAAGAACCTAGCCCCTGAGCTAGGCGAAAATGTTATTTTCAAAGGACTTCAAGAGCTGAGCCATTTTGCAAACATTAGTCATTTAAACCAGTCAACTAGACATTTTTTCCATTGTTTCCCTGTTGCCCGCCTCCCTTCAACCTCATTGGCTGAGTGGCCAAAGCTCTCCTGCTGGCTTGCTAACGTCACAACCAATCATAACAAAGCCAGCTCAGAAGGTGGGGAGAGGGGTGGGCATGGGAACTTTTGAATCTGAAGGTTATAAATATTGTATCTCTTTGCCTAACGGGCATGTCAATTTGTTGGCAGATTACTGCAATCGTCAATCCTTTCCAGCTGGGATGAAATAAACACCTTGGTGGCTTTCTCTTCAACTTGGTGAGATTTATTCTGTAATATTGGCTTCTCTTTCTCACCAGGCAACCCACAATGGCTTGGGCCTAATCCACAGCCATTCTAAATTGCTCGACAACAAAACTATGTCTTCTTTGTCTGAAGTTTCCATTCTGCCCCGTCAGCCACTGGAGAGCGGAAATCTACATTGGAAGCGAGGAAGCTCTCTGATTGGCTGGCAGGTGCCATAGACTTGCCTCCCAAGGAGATTCCTCCCAGCTAGTCATAATGTCAACCCAGCTCAGCCAATCATGGCAAAGCCATGGGGCGGGAGTGGGAAATTAAAAGGATTTCTGTCTATAAAAATGTCTGTTTCGCAATATGTGGTGCTTCTTTCTGCAGCTTACCACCAGCTAGCATCCATTCCAGCTGACTTGAATACGAGCTGACTCGTAAACTACCTCAGTGGATTCTTTTTCAACTTGGTGAGATTTATTGATTTGGGAACATTGGGTAGCTTCTTTGTCTCGCCAGGTGCACAGATCCACAGGTGGCCCACTGCCAGTACTGGTATTTGCTTATCGGGACTCGGTATCCGCGTTTCGAGTTTTGCTATCTGCAGCCCAGATCTCACTATCTGCGTATGATTTAAATGGCTCTATTTCAGTTGTAGTTTTATATGATTGCGGCTGCCTCCTTAAAGTACAACTCCCAGGATTCCATGGCCCAAAGCTATGGCAGTCAAAGTGGTGTCAAACTGCATCAACCCTAGGGTATAGATGTACCCTTAGATGCAAAGAGTTACAACAACATCTGTTATAGAACTCCAGTATGCTGATGACAATGTCGTCTGTGCGCATTCAGAAGAAGATCTACAAGCCACTCTAAACACCTTCGCAGAAGCATACGAGAAGCTTGGCCTGTCACTGAACATCGAGAAAACCAAAGTGCTCTTCCAGCAGTCACCAGCCAATCCCTCTCCAATGCCAGAGATACAGCTTAATGGTGTAACATTAGAAAATGTTGACTATTTCCGCTACCTTGGCAGCCACCTCTCCACCAAAGTCAACATTGATACAACACCGCCTGCGCTCTGCGAGTGCAGCATTTTTCCGAATGAAGCAGAGAGTGTTTGAGGACCGGGACATCTGTAGGGATACTAAGGTGCTTGTTTATAAAGCTATTGTCCTCCCAACCCTGCTATATGCCTGTGAGACATGGACTGTCTACAGACGTCACATGCAACTCCTGGAACGAGTCCATCAGTGCTGCTCCGGAAAATTCCTGCAAATCTCTTGGGAAGACAAGCGGACAAAGTCAGCGTGCTGGAAGAAGCAAAGACCACCAGCATTGAAGCGATGGTCCTCGCCATCAACTCCGCTGGACCAGCCACGTTGTCCGGATGCCTGACCACTGTCTCCCAAAGCAGTTGCTCTACTCCGAACTCAAGAATGGAAAACAGAATGTTGGAGGACAGGAAAAGAGATTTAAAGATGGGCTCAAAGCCAATCTTAAAAACTCTGGCATAGACACTGAGAACTGGGAAGCCCTGGCCCTTGAGCGCTCCAGCTGGAGGTCAGCTGTGACCAGCAGTGCTGCAGAATTCGAGGAGGCATGAGTGGAGGGTGAAAGAGAGAAACGTGCCAGGAGGAAGGCGCGTCAAGCCAACCCCGACCGGGACCGCCTTCCACCTGGAAACCAATGCCTTCACTGTGGGAGAAGATGCGGGTCAAGAATAGGGCTCCACAGCCACCTACAAACCCACAAAAATAGTCATTAGGGAAGACCATCTTACTCGTCCAACGAGGGATCGCCTAAGTAAGTAAAAGTAAGTAAGATGCAAAGAGTTAAACACACAGAGTTAAAAACGTCAGCATAAGTTTATTTGTCACAGAAGAGCACAGGGCTCTTAGGGAGAAAGAAGAAAATATTCCAGACTGTCAACTATTTCATTCATTTCATGGTTTTCACTCTACAATGTCAACCCCTCCAATACAGATCTAGGCTTGTTATTCACATGGGCTTTCTGGCAGAAAGAAAGAGAGAGAAGCATAGCTTGGTCAGGTTGGGAAAACTCCACATTTCACCTACATCTTCCTATTGTCATAAATATAAACTCACACACACCCAAAGTAGGTTAAAGACAGAGACAATAAACACAGGAGCAGGTAAGACCTTGATAAAAGCATGGGCCCTTCCAGGGAATCCATTGGCCAAGGGTGTGTTTTATAGAAGCACATATGTGATTGAAATCTCACGCTTTGCTTCGTAGTGGAGAAGCAGTCCAGAAAAGTGCCCCAAAGAAATCTCAGTTTCATTGGCAGCATATCATCCACACTCCAGGAGCACGTGTAAACACAGATGGATCGTCCCAACTTGGGGGGAAAAAAGACATTGGTGCAAAATAAAAATAGAATAAAATCAGTAGTTGGTTGAGAAAACACTTTGGTGAGCTCTGGGCGGTCCATGGCCCAAGAATGATGGATAATAATGGGTTAGACGCTCCAAGTGGATCAAGACAGTCTCTTCAGCATGAACTCTGAGAAATGCCATTTTCTGTCAATCCCTTTGTGAAAGCCTTGAACTTTTAAGTTTAGAGATTCCAAATATTCTTAGAGAATTTCTTTGTTTGATTGGAGGAAGAAGGCAACACATATCCAAGTGATAAACTATTTGAGTCACAGGAACCAAAGGCTGTAAGACCAGGATCTGAATGCTGCTTCACTGAAGGCTAATGAGCCTTTATATACTCAAGGAGGACAATGGCAGCCATCGCCCTGCCCCCTAATCAGGAGAAGCGAATTGTTTAAAGAGGAAGTACTCTGGGATGTGGACTGAAGAATGGTTGGGTCTCCTCAACTTGGGCAGCTATGGATAGATTGGAACCAGGCTTTGATATAAGGTTTGCCATGGCTATGCAATATCCATCAAAGAGCCAGTATCATGGTTTGAGTGTTGGATTGTGTCTCTGGAGACCAGGGTTTGCTTCTCTGCTCAGCCATGAAAACCCTTTGGGTGACCTTGGGCAAGTCACATACTCTCAGCTTCAGAAAAACCCATAATCCTTCAAACTGAATGACTTGAAGGCACACAACAATCCTTCAGCCACTGTCAGAACTCCAGATTTTTAGTAGGAGACCACCATATGAACTCATTCTGGGTTTGCCATGAGCCAATGTTGGGTTTCAACTCTGAGATGGCCCAAGGATGTGGCAGGGGTTCAGAAGATCTCAACCTCTGTCTTTTTTCCTCAAATTCCTCAGATATTCCTTTTCAGATGTATGCATTTGTTGGGTCCTTTCCAGCTGAAGATTATTGGAGCAAATGCATCGAATCAAGGTGGAGACGTGATTCGTGGAGAGCGCCCCCAGTTCATCGTCTGGAGTTCAAAGGGACTCTATTAACTGTGTAGAGGAGAGAGGAAGTGCAGTGTTTTTGCCCTTCCCAGTTGGCTCTGGCCAAAGCAAACTGCTGCAAAACATTGGACGACTTGCAATAAAGTCTGCATATAGGCCTCTTCCACAGATTCAGTGGGTCAACTCACGGTGGGACTAGCAGTTGGACTGAGGTGCTCTCATATATTTCCATGCAGATCCAGTCAAGTCATTGCGGGAAGCCAGTGGAGAATGGGTCAGGAATGGGCTTTGATAAGGAAATGTACAACCTCAAATTGGCAGCCGGGGAAGGCAATCCTGGGCAGCAGGGTGGGGGCAGAGGGGAAAGGGATGGTGCTGGGGAATTTGCTTTAGGCACAGGTGGCTTCTTGGTTGTCAACGGGGATGTCGTCACCGTAGCTCAGGTCTCCGTATTGGCAGTAGGGAGGGATCTGCGGTGCCTCGATGATCAGCAAACCCTCTGGGGACAAGGAGGCAAACACCGTGGTGGGATCCACCTCGCCAGGAAGCCTAGGGCAGACAACAGCAAACCAGGCATTTTAATGTGATATATTTTCTCTAGCTTGGTCATTGAATAATATTGGTCTCTTCTGAACAATCTCCAAGGGCTGCCCCATCTAGGCACAGGTGGCTTCTTGGTTGTCAACATGGTAGCCAGTAGCCAAATGGAGACCCATTTCTGGGGACTGTTTCTTGGTTTTCATACCTGTTTGTTATGAAATATGATGTATGGTTTGAATGGAATTGTATGGAAGATGTATGGTTGAGGTCTATATAGTCTAGATGTTTTGGTTGTGCATTTAAGTAATCAGATCTAATTTGCCAAATAGTCACTGTTGAATGTTTTTATGTTTTTATGTTGAATGTTTTTATATTGTGAAATGCTATTTTAAATTGTAAGTCGCTCGGAGCACCTTGGTGGAGAGCGTCTAATTAAGAAATAAAGTGAAATGAAGTGAAGTGAAGTGAAGATGCCATCCTAAGGTGAGGCCTGGAACTACAAGAAGGAGGTGAAAAATCCATGGACTATAATTAAAAGTGGCTGAATTGCTGAAATTGCTGACTTGTTGAACTTTTGGGGAAAACAAAAGTTTATATTATGAGAGACAATGGCTCCTTACGTTAAGGAAATGTTTACAAGGTTCCTTACATTAAGAAGGAAGTCAACACAAGACCCTTTACATTTACCAATACCAATTAATGAGAGTCAACATATGCCAGGAACTGAGATGAAGCCAGGATGTTTCAGGCTGCTAATATTGCTATTTCATTACAATCCAAAATTGTGGCAGATTGGAGGAGTCTGGCCCACCCGCCATGCTCTTCTCCTTGGGGAAGGGAAAGATGGTGTACCTTTGGGACTGAGAGATCTGCAATGGAATGCAGTCTGCTCACTTGCTCTTTTTCTCATGGGAAGAGAAAGGAGTGCAATTTTGGAGTCATAATACGTTTGCAGGGAGTCAGTTTCTGCTGTAGGGAAAACAGATCCTTGGCATTGTTCTTAGGGAAAGAGGATGCATTTTGGTGTTTTGGAACTCTGTGTTGACAGGTTGCAGGGAAAGCAGGGTCTGGCCTAAGAAGGTGCCTCTTCAAGGAGGGAGAAAGGATATAGTAATATTTGGATGCATGGGAATGAATGTGTATGTGCCATGTGAATGCTGAATAAAAATGTAATTCCCCTCTGTTTGTTTGTTAGCCAGTGTAACTATAGGTTGTTTGTGGTCTTCCAGTTCAAATTAGCAATTTTAAAAAACGTGTGTCTCTTTTATCCCCACTTTTGCAGGGGCTTATGTTTGGAGATACCACAGGGGATATTCCCAAGATTAAAATGGCAAAGTATAACAAACCCAAGCAGTGTTAATGGTATTTCATTAAAAATCCAATAATAATAATAACAATAATAATAACAGTAACATTTGGACCTGATATGCATGTGTGTTGCGTTATTATGGCACAGTGGATTAAATCACTGAGCTGCTGAACTTGCCAAACAAAAGGTCACAGGTTTGAATTCAGGGAGCAGCATGAGCTCCTGCTGTTAGCCCCAGCTTCTGCCAAATTAGCAGTTCGAAAACATGCAAATGTGTGTAGATCAATAGGTACTGCTCTGGTGGGAAGGTAATGGGGCTCTGTGCTGTCATGCTGGCCACATGTCCTTGGAGGTGTCCAGGACAACGCCAGCTCTTTGGCTTAGAAATGAAGATGAGCACCAACCCTCAGAGTCGGACACGACTGGACTTAATGTCAAGAGAAAACCTTTACCTTCACTATACATACAATAAAAGTAAAACTATGCATTTGTGTATGTGGCTGGGGTGTCCATTTAGCCAGACAGGCTCCTGCCTCTACAAACAGCAACAGTTCCTACTGCTCAGGAAACACCAATGGCTCTCCTTCCAATGACATTGCAGGTTATAGTGAGCACTATGAACATGTCCAAGAACCCTGCCAATGTCCTCCACAAACACCATTCTGTCTACTACCCAAGTTAAGGCTTTCATACGGGAACAATTCCATCATAGATTTTATGTGCTTCCTCCACCACAGAAATCCCAGTGTTTCTTACTCTCTCCATTGGTGTGGAATTTGCATGACCCCGCCCACTGACTCTCCCTTAACCCTTTCCTATTCTTTTTTATGGCACACAGCAGACAGAGGAATTGATCAGCAAATGAACATTCTAGAGAGGTTTGGGGAGAATTTGCCATGATTTTGAGGACTTGTAGGTCCTGGGATGTATAGTTCACCTAGAATTTAAGAGCACTCTGAACTTCAGCACCAACAGCAGACCTGGAACTAACTTGGCACACAGAGTCCCAAGACCAGCAAAAAATACTGGAGGTCTTGGGGAGAAATTCACCTTGATTTGGGGGAGTTGTAGTTCACCTACATCCAGAGAGCACTGTGAACCCAAACACTGATGGATCTGGACCAAACATGGCACACATGCCTGATATGCTGAAATTTGATTACTGGAGGGGTTTGGGGGAACTGACCTTCCTTTCTGGGAGATGTAGTTCACACAGAACCAGAGAACCTGTGACCTCCACCCATGATGGACCTGGACCAAGCTTGGCACACACAACCCCAGAGGCGGCCCTAGGTAATTTTCAACGGTAAGCAAACAGTATTTTGGCCCCCCCCCCCCAACCAATCATTGATATATATATTTTCTGTTTGTCATGGGAGTTCTGTGTGCCATATTTGGTTCAATTCCATCATTGGTGGAGTTCAGAATGCTCTTTGATTGTAGGTGAACTATACATCCCAGTAACTACAACTTGCATATGTCAAGGTCTATTTTCCCCCAACAAGAGCGCCTCTGGGCAAAATCAACTATACTGCAAATGCTTACTTTGCGTAATGGGTTGAGCTGCCCCTGCCCCCAAGGCACTGACTCACCACAGCGGGAGTTGTAGTTAATCCTACAGCCAGAGAGCACACTGAACCCCACCGATTTTGGGGTTAACCTGACATGATGTGAGTTGTAGTTCACCCACAACCTTATGCATTTTGTACAATTAAAATTTTACTTTTTCAAAATTACTCTGGCAGTGCCGGGTACCTAAGATAGTGTAAAATAAAGAACAGCAATAACAATAATATCCCACTTTTATCTTCTGATTAAGAGGCATAGCAATGCTACTGATATAACATTTTTAAAATCAAAAAGATCTCGAAATCAGGAGACAAAAGGGAAATTTCATTTGTAGCCACAGAAGTCTTTTTGTTGGGGAGGGGGGTATCACTCATTGCTGAAGCCTATAAAGATGAGTCTTTGTATTTTGAGTTGGTCTGTATTTCATATTTGATATATATTTAAAAAAATTAAATATAAATATTTATAATATTTATAACATGTATATAATATAATATTACATGAGTATATTTAAGAAAATGCATTAAATATATTTAAGAAAATATATTAAATAAATATATTTCATAAAATGAATTAAATAAATAGTAAAGGTTTCCCCTGACATTAAGTCTAGTTGTTTCCGACTCTGGGGGTGGTGCTCATCCCCATTTCTAAGCTGAAGAGCTGGTGTTGTCCGTAGACATCTCCAAGGTCACATGGCCGGCATGATTGCATGTCGTGCCATTACCTTCCCACCAAGGTGGTACCTTTTGATCTGCATGTTCACATCTGCATGTTTTCAAACTGCTAGGTTGGCATTTATATAATATAATATTAAGTAAGCATATTTAAGAAAATGCATTGCACATATTTCAGAAAACATATTCAATAAATATATCACAGAAAATATATCAAATAAATATATTTCAGAAAATCTATTATATTTTATGAATTCATTGATGGCTTAGCCACTTTTTGGGACTGGAAGCGCTCATGACGTACTTAAAGTTTGACTTAGGAAGGAGAAATGGAATGGCGTGGGAAGGGCAGATTTAGAATGGATGTTATGCATGCTGATGGTTTTTTTTTCCAAAGCACTCTCTATATTGTAATGCAGGCTTTGTGTGAAATCTGCGTAATTGCTTTGGCAAGCGGGTTGAGCCGGATGCCTTTCTATCCTTCTGCAGCTTCAAGGCGAAGACATCCAAGGAACTGTTTGCCTTTCCAACATGCCCAAAGAAGGAGTTCTTTTGAGACGCCAGAGACAGGCCAAAACAGGCATTCGCTTTCCGCAACCACACATACTGTGGTTCAGGTGGCAAATGTGGGTAATGAAGGACGGCAAAACGAGGAAGACACTGCTGCTGTTTGCTTTGGCCTGATACACTTGGGAGGGGCAATGTTATGTCCCCTCTTGGCCTCTCCTTTGTGCCAAATAGATTCAGTGCCAACTGCTTTCACAAAAGAGATGGAAAGAGAAAGTTTGTGAGGAGGACCCGTCACCTGTCAAAAGCGATCAGAATGACACATGGGCTCCAAAATAGATTTTTTAATTGCCAGAGGATGAGTCAACCTCTCGAAGGGTAATTTGAGAGCTGAGTATGAAGTCGGTGTCTCTTATTTGCTTGCTTTCCTTCCTTCATGGGCAAAGTCTCCATTGCCTTCTGCAAGCTGTGAGTCCTGTGAATGGTTTGGACTCCGACCCCGCTAATCCCCAGTATGGGCTGAGGGTAAGGGATTCTGGGAGTCAAAATCTGAAATACCCGGTAAACCTAAATCAGCTTTGTCCGGGTATTCTGCTTATAAAGCAGAGGTTTATTGCCCACTGATGTGTCAACTTCAACTCCCATAATCTCCTACCATAAGCCTTTGGGGTGGCTGTGGCATTCTTTCCCTTCTTTCCCTTCTGTGGGCAAATATCTTTCTATTCCAACCGGCATTCAATGATGAGCTTTTCACCGGGTATCTTTGTATGGGGAGAGTGTCTTTTTAATGGAATGGTTATGCTTTTTCAGTGATTTTATGCTATCAAAATGTAATGGGGTTTTAATATACTGTTAAAACGGTGCTGTGACTTCTTTGTCATCTCAGGCCAGGAGAAAGCGGCATATGTGAAGACAAGAAAGTGCCACTTTAGTGATGTGTTTTTAACAATTCTATGGGCAATTCCATTTCCATGTTGTCGGTGTTGCATTGTCATTTGTATGGTTTTTGGTGCTGTGAGCTGCTTCGAGTTTTATTTCAAAGATGACAGTGGGATATAAATATAATAATAAATGTAATACCAATGCATATAAATATAAATAAATATAAATATAATAAATATAATAATAATAATAATAATAATAATAATAATAATAATAATAATAAGCTGGCTGGGGCCAATGGGAATTGTAATCTTCTCCCATGGGTGGTTTCAGACATCTGGGAGCCAAACACAACCAAAAAGGCCAGCCAGGCCATTACATTTGTACTTTCAATTCCGTTTGCAGCAACTGAAGTAAGCTGAGGACAAAGTGAAGGAAGACAAAAGCCAGGACATTTGAAAAGTAGTGACATAGTGGGAAAGTAGACGATTCTATCCTTGCCTTTCGGAGGGTATGCAGGACACCAGCAACATTGCTCCTTGAAATGTCCAGAAAGCTTCCTAAGTGTGAAATATCGGCTTGGGGCACATTAAATTGCCCCCCATGGCATCATCCCAGGGCAGCAAGAGCAATCTGGGAATCCTGCTTCCAGTTAGCAAGAAAAGCTGGCATTTCTTTCCATTTACTTTCCTGGAAGACTGCCGCTGTAATGCATCTCTCCTTGAGACTATGCTTGGTATCCGGGTCACAGGTTCGGATTCCAGGTAGGAATCCTGTTTCCTTGAAACCCAGCTCTGCCAAGAAAACTTCTAGCAGCTGCTTCTGCACTGACTATTCTTCGGGGAAGCTAACATTAAAATCTGTGTGTCTGTCTACAATCAAAGATCTTATTGGGAGATACGGTTGCAGTAAAATGCTCCCCCAGACTGAATTGTTCGCCTTTTCTCAGGTGGTGTTCTGACCGGGCCCTAGAAGAACGCTGTTGAAATACTTACTGGATTTTCTTGGTGAAGTTCTTCGATACGATTCCGCCTTCCACTTGTTGCTCTTCATGTTTACCTGCCAGGAACACAATGAGTCGGTTGGAACGTCAGGGATCCCATCATAACATCATCATCAGACTGATGTTAACTACTACTTTAAGGTGGGCATGACATATGCATTACTGCAAGGATTGACTTGCTTCGGGGAGTACGTTTTTGCTGAAAACCCAGAAGTAACCCAGATATATATTTTTTTCTGTTCCTGGTTTGAAAGTGTTGTTTCCTGTTTAATTGTGAAGTACTTACTTTGAAAGTCATTGTTATACTCCAGAAACTTCATTCTTGTGGCTGCCACAAAGTATGTTGTGACTTTACAAGATATTCATTGAAAAGCTAGAGCAAAATGTGCGATTGCAGGATGTCCCACAGAAACAACATTTTTGCAGTTGAATAAACTTTCCCCGTGTTTTTATGATAGAACCAATTAGGAAACAACATTTATAACCCAGGAACAAAAATCATGTGATATAGAGAGCTATTTGGATAGTTTGCGGCAATTGGAGGAAGCTGGGGGTGAAAGTGGGAGGAGTGGGAAGAGAGAAAACGGGACATTTTAAAGGCAATTGAAAGCCGGATGGCACAGAATTGATAAGGTTTTCCCCTGACATCAAGTCCAGTCGTGTCTGACTCTGGGGGTTGGTGCCGAAGAGCTGGCGTTGTCTATAGACACCTCCAAGGTCAGGTGGCCAGCATGACTACATGGAGTGCTGTTACCACCCCACCGGAGCAGTACCTAGTGATCTACTCACATCTGAATGTTTTCAAACTGCTAGGTTGGCAGAAGCTGGAGCTGACAGCGGAAGATCACGCCGCTCCCTGGATTCGAACCTGTGACCTTTTGGTCAACAAGTTTAGCAGCTCAGCAGTTTAACCCTCTGTGCCACCGGGGGCTCCTACAGAATTGACAGGAGCTGCTAAATTGAACAACTGGGTAGGCTTTGCCAAGTGGATATCATACCTTGGAGCATAAAGCCCAGAATCTCCAAACTGTACAGCTATGTGGAACAAGGTTTACTCTGGCATAGATTCTGTGACCTGGTCTAAACTCGTCCGCAATAGTTGTGCAAGCTTTCGGGTGTAATCTTTTCCCAATCCTCCCCGCTGATGGATGAAATCTTCCCTGTGCCAAACGTGTGCGCCTTGTTCTTCAATGTATTGGGAACATCCATCTGCCTTCCATCTAGAAGTGTAAATGTTTGGCCCGTGTTCCATAGTGAAAGTTCTACTTGTGCCTTTCAGTTTGGAAAGCCATTCCCCTCCCTTCCTTCTGCCTCTGTTTTCTTTCTCTGGCCCAGAGCCCGGACTTGGTTGGCCTTTGAGCAATAATGCCAGGTCCATCAAAGAGAGAAAGCTTGGGTGGCAGAGGCCTGGAGTGCTTATTCCTCTCCTTCCCAAACTGGGCTGGTGGCTTGAGGGACAGATGAAACCGGGAGGGGAGCTATAAAAAGAACTGCAGAGAAGGACTTCAGCCTCCTAAGAAACTGGGAGGAGAGCACTGAAGCTGCAGATGCATGAAGGTGTTACCTAACGCGTCGCTTTGGAATGCATTTTAAACTTAGGACTGACCCACTTTGCCGATGGGGGCAACCGAGGCAGGCAACCAAGGTGCTGTTCCAAATGAGACAATAAACATGTGCATAACTTTGCAATTAACTTTAAATAAGTTGTGTTCTGTTTGAAACACGGCCATGACTTGCTTCAACAAGCTGTCATTCAGACTAACCATAGTTTAGCATGCAGTCATAACAGTAAACTATGATTAATCAAAAATAAGTTTTCTTGTGTGGTTTTAAAGCCTTCTCTGCCCAAGAGGGCTGGTGCTTCACCAAAATACACCTCCCAGGTTTCCATAGCATTGGGCCATAGCAGCTGAAGTGGGGTCAAACTACATTCATTCTACAGTGCAGACATAGCCTCAGTGTCTATGTAGAAAGGTCTTAAGGGCCTGCATATTGGATTTTTATGGCTCCTATTCCCGGGGAACAATTTTTGGAGGTTTTTGGAATTCCAAATGAGGGTCGTTCAACCTGTTTATAGCTAGAGGTGTTGGGTTTTTTTTAAGCATTCCCTACTGTATATAGACATTGTAAATTCCTGTATGCTATCTATCCCCTGAAGGATCTTTCCTTCGGAGTTGAAGGCAGCTGTATGTTAAATGGAGGTAAGCTCTGGGGCTTGTCTTCCTGCTAATTTATCTCCAACTTCCCTTGCCTTTCTGTTGGACTACAAAGCCCATCATCCTCAAGGTGGTCTCTTTTTCCCTTGGTCTTGGGCAGCCGAATGAAGTCTGGCAACATCCCCATTCTGAAGCATCATGTTGGAAAGGAGGGTTGTTATAGATCCTCTGAGCTTGTTTTGGACTATAGATCCCAGAATCCATGGTGGTTAGAGGATGCTGGGACCTGCAACTTTAAAAAAGGGAACCTTTCCAAGCTGTGAGATGTTTTGCCCTTGGCTTTCAGGCCTCTTCTCTTCCTCGCCAGCTCAAATTTTGTCATATTTTTGCTTTCAGATGATATTTTTGTAAAGCGAGGCACATTTGCGCTGTCAGTTGAGCAATCAGCACACTGCAATATTTTTCATCTATTAATCACCACTGAACTGACCAATTGCTTCAGTAACTATATTTAAACGAGTCTGGGTATTATCAAAAGGCCAAATTCTGGATAAGGGCTTTTTAAACTGTATCTACATTGGCTGAATGCTATGGAACCCTGGAGTTGTAGTTTGGTGAGGCACTAGCCTTTTGTCAGAGAATGCTCAAGACCACCCAAACTGCCATAACTCAGAGTGATGGCATACTGGGAGTTGTAGTTTGACAAGGCCTTGTGGTCCACTTGAAATGAGACAGCATCAAACCACGAGTTCTAAAAACTGGCTTGGGTCAATAAGCCACCATCGCAACTAAACATAGTTTAGCACGCGGCCATGGCGATAAACTGTGATTAATTCCAAATAGGTTTCATCGTGTAATTTTACCTTCTGTGCCAAAGAGTGCTGGTGCTGCCCCAAATGACAACTGCGGTGATTCCATAGCATTGAGTCATGGCTATTCAAGTGATGTCAAACCGCATTCATTCGACGGTTGCAAATGCACCCAAGGGAAAAAGGTTGAAGGGCTCTCCAGATCAACCACACTATGGTGTATGGTTTAGACCAGGCAAAACTTTGGCCCTCTAGAAGTGACTGAGGGGGAAAGGAAGGGGGCTGAGTCCAGGAATTGTGGGAGTTGAAGTCCAAAACCCCTGGAGGGCTGAAGTTTGGCCAAGGGTCCTCCAACTTTTTAAGCAGAGGGCTGATTCAGACCGCTTATATGAACGAAAAAAAACCATGGATGAATTCCTATGCACACTGCACATATCTTATTAATGGTGCAAGAAAACCCATGAAAGAACAATACAATATTTCAAATGGCAAACAGTTTTAACCAACACAAACGTACCACTCTTTCAATGGGAAGTGTAGGCCTGCTTTTGGCTGATGAGAGACTTCAGTTAATTAGGATTGTTGTTGTTGTTGTTGGCCTTCAAGATGTCTCAGACTTAAGGCAACCCTACGTTTAAGGTTTAGGGCGGGGGCTGGGAAATGACCTCGGAGGGCTACATCCGGACTGCGGGCTGTCGTTTGTGGTTTAGACCTGCTTTCATATTCATTTGATAAAGGGTGCAAGAAAGCCATTGCTTACCCACTGTGAAAACCAAAATGCCACTGCTCACCTGAAACCTCCACGTAACCGTCCTTGGTTTTCACTGTCAGCTCCTCTGGCTTGAAGCTTTGCACATTGACACAGACTTTCCAGGGCTCCCCGGTGAAGGGCATGGGAGGGCCCCCAAAAGGCGCTCCTTCGGCGTACCCACCGAACCGGGTGTAGCCTGGTGGGGAAAGGCCGGCGGTTCGGACCATCCCAGATCGAATGGGGCCCGACCACGGTGAGGTCAGGCGCGAGCGGGCCCAGTCTGGCCAGTCTGCGGTCAGATCCCCCGAAAAGGGGGACATGCCAAAGTCTTCATCCAAAAGGCGAGAGGAGAGGCTGGGTTCCCGGAAAGGGTCGCGAAGGCTGCGATGCCGCCCAGGGTAGTGGCATGAGAAGGGCAGCTGGCTGTCCGCCATACTCTTTTTTGAACCACGGGTTGATGAGCTACGAAAGAAGGAACAAAAGCAAGAAAGATCCAACCAGTCGTCTGATACCAATGCTGCGCCAGAAACCCAACAGTGGCACAAAGGATGCTCAAATGTGCCTACTTCACCAGAAGACGCTGTCTAATATTTAAGATCCTTGTTTCTGTAAAGTCCTCCAAACAGAAGAATAAGAAGAAACGTCTTGTTCCCAAAGTGCACAGATTTAGAAAGCCAAAGCCTTTGCTTCGGTGCCGGAGAGAAATCCCTGTTCTAGCCGGATTGAAGAAATCAATAGACTTTATTGCTCCTCTCTCCTGATGGAAAGGTCTACGCCTCTCCTTACACAGGAGCTTAAATAAACCTCTCCCTGATGAGCCGAGAAACTTCTTGCAAGTTCCTGCCTGGCTTCTATTTATACATGCGCCTCAAGCGCTCCAGGGCAGGAGAGGGAGTATTTTTGGAGGCGATGAAACAGTCCCGGAGAATCTGGGCCGTGACAGCTGACTTCATCCCAGTGGGATAGGCGTGCGCCATAGAGAGCCAAGTTTAGACCGCCTGGCTCATGCAGGCCCGCACCTTGGGCCAGCCTCTCTTCTTGGCACAAATGGGACATGTGGCAGGTGGGCTATTTTGAACTTTGGGTTCCTGAGCCCATGGCTTTGCTTATGACTGCCTTCTGGGATTTTCAAAAATGACTACACCTTCCAGAATCCCCTGCCAGTAGGGACATTGGGCTTATCTGGGAGTGGGAGACCCCTTCCAAATCAAGCTTCCTTATACCCTACAATGGTTCCAACTCATCCTCTGCTGTCCCACTTCCTCAGCTGTTCGTAAAATGTCCTGATTTCTCTCCCTCTCACCTTCCCCCTTTGCTTCAGTTGCTGCAAAAAGAGTTCAACATGCGATAGGAGCTCAGACAAAAGGGAGAGGAATCTTGCCCTTTCCCATCAGCTCAGACAAAAGCAAACTGCTTTTAGGCAGCATCTACACTGCAGAATGAATACAGTTTGATGCCGCTTGAACTGCCATGGGTCAAGGCTGTGGAGTCTGTTCAGCAGTGGAACTCTCTGCCTCGGGGTCCGGTAGAAGCTCCTTCCTTGGAGGCTTTTAAACAGAGGCTGGATGGCCATCTGTTTGGGGTACTTTGATTGTGCTTTTCCTGCCTGGCAGAAGGGGGTTGGACTAGATGACCTTTGGGGGTCTCTTCCAACTCTATGATTCTATTATCTTGTTTTGCAAGATTTTGAGCCTCTTGAGGCAAAACAAACTTCAAATCCCAGGATTCCATAGCATGGAGCCATGGCAGTTTGAGTAGTGTTAACCTGCATTCGTTCAACACTCTAGATTAGGCTTGTGCATTTCGACTGAACCTTAACCTGTTTCTGCTGGCCGGATTCTGATAGACTCCCGTATCTGTTTTCGCGCACCTCCCAAAAATGGGTGAGTAGCCGGATAACCCTTTTTGGTCCTCACCCAAAAAGATTCGGCTTCACCAAAAAGATTCGGCCCATTGATGGCAATGGAGAATTTAGGAGGCTCCCCTTTCCATTTCTAGGACCTTTTCCTCTTTTCCTTTCAAGGGAGCCTGGGTTTCAGCATTGGAGTTAAGGAAGCAGACATAACTTACTTAAGACCGAATAGGGGAGGAAGAGCTGCGATTGGCTGCCACGTGGTCCCATTACCGACCGTGACGGCTGGGCCCATCCGACCAAGACGAAGAAGCCAGATTGGCTGAAGGAAAACTGCTAAAACGGATCCGCACATAAGCCTACTGTAGATGCACCCCTAGTATCTGTGTTCTTCTTCATTGATAGCATTGGCGACCAGGGTTTGAAGGCCCACTCAGCCATGGAAACCCATTGGTCAAGCAACACTCTCTCAGCCTTAGAGGAAGGCCATGATTAAGCCTTTTGGAACAAATCTGGCCAAGAAAACCTTATTATGATAGGTGCGTCTGAGGCCACCATAGGTCAGAAACAGCTTGAAGCCCCACAACAACCACAACTGGCATTGGTAGGGCACATGTCTCCAAGCTTAAAATAAGTGCTATTTAGCTCTCACAATTGATCATATCGTCCTGGGTTTATCCAATCCCGCTTCAGAACCTTCCAAAATGTTTGACACCACCTTGTTCTGTGGCGGTGAGTTCCACAGGCTTCATCTGCATCGTGAGATGATGCCGAGCATCTGGGATGCCAAACTTGGGTGCAACCTGCCCAAGGCAAGGTTGGCATCAAAGATTATACAGTTGCTAAGTGAATGTTGTGTGTGTTGTTTTCTCTCTCTGGTGTGGGGCAATTTATTAAGTGCTAGCATTGCTCAGCACAGTGTTTTCCACCCAGCATATGGGACGCACTGCAACTCCCATGAGCGAGTTTGTGATGGTGGGACAAAATGAAGAAGACCAAACGGGGATAGTGTTGACCATGCCTATGTAGGCGCAGTCTATCTGAGCTTGAGATTTCTTCACCCGTTTCTGGGAATAGTCTATGACAGGTTTCTAAGATGCCCTGTGTCAACACAGGGTCTGGGCAAAGAGATGACGAACGTCAATCCCATTGAAGGGTCTATTTATGGTGCAGAGCGACAGCCAGCTTTCGAAACACAGCAGGTAGGGACTGCTAAAAAAAAAAAAAAGGTGACAACCCTCTCTCATCGTATCAAGGCATCTTAGACATTGCTCTAAAACGGTTGTGGCAGCAGCAGATGATGACGTCGGCAGCCATCATCATTTATATTTATACCCTGCCTTTCGGCTAAGAAACCTGAACTGCTGACATCCACAGCTTGCTGATCCCTTTTTAGAGCCTCACGACAGCCCTGCGAAGTGGACCAGGTCATGGTGTTGTCGGGTGCTTTCAACTTGTTTGGACTTGTTGGGGTTTTCTAAGCCGGAGTAAATTTAGACTAACCATAGTTCAATGGGCAGCTGTCATGATGAGCCGTGTTTAATCCAAACAACGTGTTCCTATTTAGTTTGACACTGTAGAACAAATGTAAATCCCTTGAACTGTCATGGCTTTGTGCTGTGGAATCCCGAGAGTTGTAGTTCCGCAAGGTCTTCAGCCTTCTCTGCCCAAGAGTACTGGTGCCTTGCCAAACTATAAATCCCAGGACTCCATAGCCTTGAGCCAAAGTGGAGAGAAAAAGTGGGGTATAAATAAACAAACATAAACATAATAATAATATGGTGCCAAACTACCTTCGTTCCACAATGTCGACATACCCATATTTCAAGTGGGAAGACCGAGGCCAAGAACTTTGTGGAAGAATGAAATACCCAAAGGGTCTGAGATGGAGACGTCTTGGAAGACAACAGGCATTTGAAGCATAAATAAATACTATTCTTGACTCAATCCTTTGAGTCCAACTGCTTTCGCTCACTAGGATACCCTGAAGGCTCTGTCACGCCCCATCTTTCCAGCCCAACATTCAGTTTGACTTACATCACTCCTATGAGATAATTGCTGTTTGTAGTCAAGTATTAGGCACTCCCAAACTGGAAGACACCGCTGCCAACTGAGAGCAGCCACGGAGTCCCAGAAAGCCCTGAGCTCCATTGACATCTCTTATTTAGGGTACATCTACACTGTAGCATGAATGCAGTTTGACCCCACTTGAACTGCCATGGCTCCATGTTATGGGATTCTAGGAGTTGTAGTTTGGGGAGGCACCAGCACTCTTGGGCAGGGAAGACCTTGAGAAGCTATCAACTCCCAAGAGCCATGGCAGTTCAAGTGAGGTCAAACCGCATTAATTGGACAATGTAGAGGCAGCCCTAGACCCGCAGGAGGCTGGGAGGAATTTCTCATGGGCTTTGCTAGGCAACGGCCAATGTTGTCCGGATCGACAAAACAACTGGAAAAAGCTGAGGGCTGGAACGAATGTGATGTGGGAAGTCTGTAATTAGAGCTTCCCAAAGTTTTCTTTCCTTTAAAGCAACAAGGAGGGCTCCGGTTTTAGACTGGAAGCTTTTCCCCAAAGGCATATCACACTCCAGTCCCCAGCTTTTCAATACCTGCTTTTGCTATTATTGTCATTATTATTGTCATTATTATTATTATCATCCCAAATACCTGGGAGTTACTCTCAACCATGCTCTGACTTACAAGAAGCACTGCTTGACTATCAAGTAAAAAGTGGGCGCTAGAAATAATATCATATGAAAGCTGATTGGCACAACCTGGGGATCACAACTAGACACAGTGAAGACACCTGCCCTTGTGCTTTGCCACTCTGCTGAGTACGCATGCCCAGTGTGGAATACATCCCACCATGTTAAAACAGTGGATGTGGCTCTTAATAAGACATGTCGCATTATCACAGGATGTCTACGCCCTACACCACTGGATAAATTATACTGTTTAGCCGGTATTGCACCACCTGATATCCGTCAGGAAGTAGCAGCCAGCAATGAAAGGACTAAGGCAGTGACATCTCCAGCCCATCCCCTGTTTGGATATCGACCAGCAAGCCAACACCTTAAATCAAGAAATAGCTTCCTAAGATCTACAGAGATACTCGGAGGAATACCTCAGCAAGCGAGAGTCCGAAAGTGGCAGGCTCAAACCTGTAACCTCGATCAGTAGCTGATACCAGATGAAAAACTCCCTCCTGGGCACACAGAAGACTGGGCAACTTGGAAGGCACTGAATAAACTGCGCTCTGGCACCACAAGAGGCAGAGCTAACCTTACAAAATGGCGCTACAAGGTAGAGTCTGTAACATGCGAGTGTGGAGAAGAGCAAACCACAGACCACTTACTACAATGCAACTACAATGCGGTCTGAGCCCCGCCACATGCACAACGGAGGACCTTCTCACAGTGACACCAGAGGCACTCCAAGTGGCCAGCTTCTGGTCAAAGGAAAGTTAGTGTAATGCCAAGTTTTTAACTCTGTGGTTTTTCTGCACATGATAAGTGTATTCTCAATTTGCGTCTGATGCAATAAATAAATAAATAAATAAATAAATAAATAAATAAATAAATAAATTGCAGTGGCCCTTGATATCCACGGAGGTTTGGTTCCTGGATCTCTCATGGATACCAACATCCATGTTCTGTCTCATTAGATACAACAGTGTCGTACTATGTCATCGCTAATATATAAAATAGCAAAATCAAGGTTCCTTTTGGGACTTTTCACACTGTGGATGGTAAAATCTGTGAATACAGAGGGCTGGCCACAGGCAGATGAGCTCCTTGGGGTAAAAGCAAAATACAAATGGAACAGACAAGGTGACTAGTAAATAAAATTGGAAGGATGCAGGAGGCAAGGGCACTGAGCTTTTGATATCCACAAGGGGTCCTGCGGATATTGGAGGGCCCACTGTAATAATATAATAATAATTATAAGAAGAAGAATCATAGGATGTTATCTAAGGAACGATTCGATCGCTTGCCGACTCAGACAGTGCTGAGTCAGGGCTCTTCCTTTGCTTAGCAAGGCTCCACTAGTTGTTTGCCCCTTAAGATGGATTTAAAGGCACCTTTTTGGAATTTCTCAGCAATTTCTTGCCGAGAAAAATCCGACTCATGCCTTGGCAGGAATGGAGTAAGAAACCAGATTTTCCTGTTTGCTTTTTGCAGTGTTTCAGTTCTTTCTGGCGCAGAATTGTTTTGCAATCGCTTACTCACAGGCCTACAACCAAATAGCTAACATTCTTTTCTTCTCAAACTATGACTGATATCCCATCCTTCCTCCCAAGAGCAAGAGGTGATGTACAGGGCTCTCCTCTTCCCCATTCAATCTGAACAACAAGTCTGTGAGGTAGATCTGACAAAGCCCCCATCTACACAGCCATAAGGTCAGTCTAGACCAGCATTTCTCAACCTGGGGGTCGGGACCCCTGAAGTGGTTGTGAGGGGCTGTCAGAGGGGTCGCCAAGGACCATCAGAAAGCACAGCATTTTTTGTTGGTCATGGAGGTTGTGTGTAGGAAGTTTGGCCCAATTCTATCATTGGTGGAGTCCAGAATGCTCTTTGATTGTAGGTGAACTATAAATCCCAGCAACTACAACTCCCAAATGTTAAAGTCTATTTTCCCCAAAGTCCACCAGTGTTCACATTTGGGCATATTGAGTATTCGTGCCAAGTTTAGTCCAGATCAATCACTGTTTGGGTCCACAGTGCTCTCTGGATGTAAGTGAACTACAACTCCAAAACTCAATGCCCACCAAACCCTTCCAGTATTTTCTGTTGGTTATGGGATTTCTGTGAGCCAAGTCTGGTTCAGCTAAATCATTGGTGGAGTACAGAATGCTCTTTGATTGTAGGTGAACTATAAATCCCAGCAACTACAACTCCCAAATGACAAAATCAATCCCCCCAACCTCACCAGTATTCAAATTTGGGCATATTGGGTATTTGTGCCAAATTTGTTCCAGTGAATGAAAATATATCCTGCATATCAAATATTTACATTACAATTCATAACAGTAGCAAAATGTCAGTTATGAATTAGCAACAAAAATAATGTTATGGTTGGGGGTCACCACAACACGAGGAACTGGATTAAGGGGTCATGGCATTAGCAAGATTGAGAAATGCTGGTCTAGACTCACATCATGCAGTGTAATGCATCTAATAGTGCAGTGTAGATGGGGCCAAAGAGAGAGAGACTTCCTGATGTAGGTGAAAAGTCAGAAGAGAATGCTTCTGGAACATGGCCATACAACCCCAAAAACTTACAGCAACCCAGTGATTCTGGCCATGAAAGCCTTCCAAGCCCCTATTGAATCTCCCAAACCCCACTCAGCACTCCTCTTAACCCCTATGACATACTTTCCCAAACAGCACAACAATCTCGCATCCTTGCAAGCTTCCCATTGAACATTGTCAATTTGTCACATAATTTATCGACTTCTTGCCTTACGTAACGTTTTGTGCCTTTTGTGTTCTCTGGTGAAGCACGCAACTCCAGCTCTTTGTCAGAAACCATTCAAGATTCAGGAGCCCTCCTGGCTTTTGCACCTGGCCACCTCATAGCCCTCAAAAATCAACATTCTAGCAAGTCCTTTCTTTCAACTTGGAGGGGGACTAGTTAGGAGTTGCTTACCCACAGTGTTATGGGATCAAGAGGAGATGCCCGAGTGATGCCCACTCAGTGCTTGTACGCCGAAGATGTCCCAGGGGGCATTTGCTTGGGCGAGCCGGCAATGGCGACTGGTTCAGACAGGCACAAAGCTCCCACTTCTCTGTCTGCTCGGCAATGCAGAGAAGGGGGAGAGAAGCACCGAGTTTGCAGAGTGTCCTCAGCTTTATCCTGGGCAAGCAGCCACAGTGAGCTCTGCCTCTCTCCAGTGGGCAGAGGTGGAGCCAGGCACAATGCCAGCTTGCAGCTAACTTGGGGCCCCAGAGCGATGGGCTGGCTCTGGGCCAGTTCTCATCTTCCGGCGCCAATGACCCTGGCGCTGGAAGGCCGGCTGCTGCAGTTAACTCCATCCCAGCCTCAGCCAGCACACGAGGAAGCTGTCCCTTGCCCTCTCTTGATGCAGGAGAAAGAGACACACACAGAACCCCTCCCTTGGGTCCATTGGTGTCAATGCTTCCCTACATGGCTGCTGTTTCGTCGCAAACTTTGGCACGGCATGTCCCAGAATCCCCCACCCAACAGATCCACTGATCATGCCAGCTGCTTGTTCGTTGGGAAAAAGAGTCGTCATCTCAAAAGAGGGAATGTTGCCAGATGATGAGCTGCAGCCACAAGCAGTGTCTTGGGCTGCTCTTTAGTGTGAATGGTTAGTTATTTGATTTTTTCCCACACCTAGAGACAGGGAAAGGTGCTTGTCCACCAAATCCCATCTGATCTTGGAAGCTAAGCGGAGTACTTGAATGCGGGACCACTAAGAAATCCCCAGTGCCATAAGCTTTATTTCAGAGGAAGGCAATGGCACAAACACCTATGACTATTCCTTGCTTTAAAAAACCCAATGACACTTATGGGATCACTATAAGTCAACAGGCAACTTGAAGGCACATGTGGACACAGACTTCCATGGTTGAGGGTATCAATGGCTTGTCTACATCAAGCAGCAATATATCTTAACCAAGCACCCCCTCCTTTACAAGCCCCAAAGTGGCATTCGGCTTTGCTTTAGAATAGATATAGTGATATCGGAGGTTACACCCCCCCCCCCCAGGACTCTGCAGGTCTGACATAATTGAAGAAGCTGTAGTGAAGTTCTAATTCCTTGCAAATGTGTTTGTCTTAACTTTGGAGGGAGAGAGAGCTGACATGGTTCCCCTTTGCCTCTATATAATTTATCCCCTATGAAATCTGTGTATGCTCCTTTGCCCCATTCCTCATTCCCTATATATGTGTGTGTATGTCTATATTTATGAAATATGAATGAAAAGCCACCTTTTTCAAAATCCAGCAATTCACCTGGCTCAGGAAATCCCCTCATGCTTCCTGAGCTACTAATCCCCTAACAAAAGGTTTCACCACACCCATTTGCATGGACAATAAGTAAATGCCCCCTCTTCCTGGACCTCGGAGGGCCCAATGGCCAGCCACCCAGGATAATGAGAGTCTATGGACATACTGAATCACTCAACACAAAGGACATCTCCCCATCTGCGAGGAACCGGGGATTTGTTGCCGCCTCTCCTGCTGTCATATCCCAGTCTCTGAAACCAATCTCTGCTTCATCAATGAAAGCCATATCGCAGGACTGTAAGGACAAGGGGCCCAGGCCCTAGGGGCCAGACCACAATGTTAAATCAAAGGACCAAAACCATAACCTAGGCTAGGCTTGAGAGCCTAAAGGGATTTCGCCCAGCCATTTAACAAACATTAGTCATTTAAACCAGTCATCTGGAGATTTCTTCATTGTTTTTCTGTTGCCCGCCTCCCTTCCACCTCATTGGACATCACAGCCAATCACAACGAAGCTGGCTTGGGGGTGGGCATGGAAACTTTTGAATCTGAAATCTATATATTCTGTATTTACCTGCCTAGCAAACATGTCAGTTTTTGGCAAGGGATTGCAGCTTGACATCCGTACCAGCTGGGATGAAATAAACAATCTGTGGCATTTTCTTCAACTTTGGTGAGATTTATTTGGGAAAAATTAGAAAAAAGTCTGTTTTGTGTGCTTCTTTCTTGCCAGAGTAACAGATCCTCATTGGTGGGTCTGGCTGGTCTCTGCCTCCTAGGCAAAAAACCCCCAAATTCTTGCTCGATATAATTGGGACTCTTGATTATTCTTGCACCTGGATCCTTGTGGATTATTGATACATTTGGAGTTTGAAGTTTGGAGCCCCCAGTGGCGCACTTGTGCCGGCAGGACTGAAGACCAACAGATCAGAGGCTCGAATACGGGAAGAGTGTGGATGAGTTCCTTCTGTCAGCTCCAGCTCCCCATGCGGGGGCATGAGAAATGCCTCCCACAAGGATGGTAAAACATCAAAACATCCAGGCATCCCCTGAGCAACGTCCTTGCAGACGGCCAATTCTCTCACAGCAGAAGTGACTTGCAGTTTCTCAAGTCGCTCCTGTCACGAAAAAATTAAAATAAAACAAAACTATTTTTGCTGTTTGCTTTTGATATAATCTTCAATAAACTGTTTTGCTGATTGAACCTGGACTGGCCTGAGGTAGTTAAGTACAGAGGTGTTTCCTGGCCTGGGGTGCAACAGATTTGGTGCTGTCTAGAAGTGCCCTCATAGAGTTGTAATAGACCCCAGGGGCCTTCCCGTCCAAACCCATTCTGCTACACAGGAAGACCTGATCCAAGCCCTCCCGACCTATGGCCATCCAGTCTGTGTTGAAAAATCTCCAGGCAGCATATTCCACCATTGAACAGCGCTGACCATCAGGAGGTTCATCCTAATAGGTGGAATGCTCAACCTCATCATCTCTGTCCTAAAATACTTCCCAATAAGGTTTTGGTAAAAAAAACCCAAAAAACCACACCCCAAAACACGCACATTTTGAAAATGAAACACAGCTGGATTTTCGGTTTTATTGGCGCCTTTGTGTTGGGTGAGTGTGGATGCGACTATTCTTCAGGAAGACTAAAGAATACAGTCAGATCAAAGAGCATTGTAACCATCTGAAATTTGGCATACAACTCTTTTGGCTCAGTGGCCAACGACAGGGGAGAAAGGCTGCTTCGTATACATTGTGTGTCTTCCTCCCACTGCCACCCAATGTTCTATCCCGATTTTGGCATTAATATTGAAAAAGGAACTTGCCATGGCTGTTTTATATACTGTAAAACCAAGTTGTCCTTTGTAATCATTGTTCTTATCCTGGTAGCTTTGGAATTTGTCAAAGAAGTGCTCAATTTTGATGCTGTGTCCCGTTCAACTTGTCTCATATTATTCAAGAATTAAAACTTGCCTTCTTCTGTGCTGATTCTCTTTCCTCCCATGTGTTTTCCTCTGAAGACTTCGCCCATTTGGTGAAGACGGATGTTAGAAAACAAATGACGTGTTTCACAACACTTAGTATCATGGTCTCTCTTTGCTACAAAGCCACCCCATTCATGGCAGCACGGTTCTCAAAGCAATCCCTGATCAAGACCAGAAATAAATAAGAAACGACGGTGGACATGTTCTCAGTCTCTCGTCAGACAAACAATGCATAGCAATGATAATAATAATAATAACAACAACAACAATAACGATAACAATATAGTCAGAATCTTGTTGGGGACTTGGGTCTGAAGCAAATGGAACCGCACAGTTTTGCAATGTCAGCATTCAGCTGTGACGCAACTGCGCGGAGGCGCCCTGGTTCTGGATTTTTGTGTTTCAGAAGAGACTATTAGAATGTCCAAATTTCCCTTGGGATGGCAGCAGCCGCCATGTTAGGTGCAGGTTCTAGTCCCAACTTTAAAGGAGAAAAGCTTTTCCTGTCATGGCACCAGGACTCAACCTCCACTCTGCTTTGGCATCTAGAAAGTGAAACATGTTAGCAGGTCCTGACCCAATCACTCAAAGTAAGTGAGAAGGAACAATCCTGTCTTGAATGGGAAACAGCTCTTCTAGCAAAGATTTATACCTTCATTTCCAAAGGGGAAAATATGCTCTGGGTTGGAATAGAAAAGCATGAGTTTCTCTGTTTGGTCCATAACACTATGTAACAAATTTTCTGCTCCTGGTTTGAAAGTGTTATTTACTATTTAATTGTGCACTGCTTACTTTAAAAGTAGTTGTTATAGGGGCTGCGGTAGCATAGTGATTAAAGCTGCTATCTGCAGGAAATCTGCTGACCAGAGGGTCAACAGTTTGAAGCCATGAGTTGGGGTGAGCTCCCGACTGTCAGTCCTAGCTTCTGCCTACCTAGCAGTTGGAAAGGATGCAATGCGAGTAGACCAATAGGTATTGCCTCGGCGGGAAGGTAAAAAGGGCACCTTATGCAGACATGCCGGCGAAGAGATCGGAGATGTCTACGGACAGCATGGAAATTGGAACAAGAGCACCTCTCCATGGTTGGAAGTTGAGGATCGCCTCGACGCCAGAGATGGAAAAAGGGGAAGGCCTTTCCCTTATCTGTGTATGGTATGTTGTTGTTTGTGTAAAAAGGCATTGAATGTTTGTCTTACACGTGTACTGTAATCCGCTTTGAGTCCCTCCAGGGAAATAAAATGGAATATAAATAAAGTGTATTATTGTTATTATTATTATTACTCCAGAAACTTCGTTTTTGTTGTTGCCACAAACTGGTTGAATTGGTTGAGACTCTGTCAGATATTCATTGAAATACTATCGCAAAATGTGCTGCAGGATGTCCTCCCGCAAAAACAAAGTTTTCTCAGTGTAATAAACTTTCCCCATGTTTTAATGATAGAACCAATTAGGAAATGACACTGATAACCCAGGAACAAAAATCGTGTTACTTAATGTAGTATGATGACACTTGATGACATTATAAGTCCCATGTTTTGGCCCCAAAACCTCAGGGTTCAGAATGATCCTGAAATTGCCACCTAACCCTGTTTGAAAGCTTCCTTCAGACCCTAAAGCGACTCAATTATCCTAAAAGCAAAACTTAAATATTTGGATTACACCCAGAATCCCACAGCCAGCATGGATGCTTTGGCAGTCTGGAAACAAACAAATAAACAAACAAACAAAAATTCCATGTTCATCCTTTGGTCCTGGCCAAGTTGGCAGTTTGACATAAAGGTGAGGAAAACAGCATGGCATGGAAAGACTGAAGGGAGCCCCCCCAAAATAGCAGCAGGCCATTCTTTAGCTACTTTTGCAGAACACACAGAACAATCCAAAATAGAACAATAAGTTAACCCACCCCAAATGGCCATAAATTAAATATTGATTGTGAAAGCAGAGTGCTTGCTTCTGATGCAGAATTTCAAGGATAATAAATACTGCAATTAATAAATAACCCAAGAAACATGTAGGGATGCGTAGACGCTAATTGAGTCTTTGCTGCCATGGGTTCATGTGGCTGCGAAGGGTATCTCACAGAAGACCAGCCCCACTGTGGTCCATAGATCCATGTGGCCTGGTTGGGTTTCGAGGACTAATATATGGACAGGACATTGTTCCAAGATCCTTTCCAAGAAAGAGGCAACATTAGGCCTTTGGCTCCTTTGTATACAGGTTTTATAATGGCCCAAAAGCGAGGGCTAACGTCCCATTGGGAAAAAGCCTGTGGATGAAGAAGAGTTTCCCTTTGTCAAAACTAGAGTAAATCTAATAGCCCATGGCTCAAGGGGCGTAATACACATCATCGTCCTCTTCCTCCTCTCCTTCAATCAACTCGAGATTGTCGCGGCCACAATTCGGAATCAGTTTTTCACATCATATGCATTTTAGGATGGGTTTTTGTTGGTACCTTCATGTAATTCCTTTGAAATGCCCTGGGATGTGGTGAAGTTCCAAAAACAACGCAGGAACCAGAGCTTGGGGAAAGTTCCATTTTTTTTGGACAACAGCTCTCATAATCCCCGAGCCACTCATAGTTTTCAAACATATGCTTCCTCAAGTTGGAAGGGAAGCGAGGCAAGTGGACTAGGGAATGGATCATTCCAAGGTATTAATTTTAGCTTAATGGCACCAAAATACAAGATCAGGAAGTGGAGTTTTTGTGGTCTAAAATAGAAACCACTTGCTCAATTGACACAATGCCGATTGAGGAACCAATGTATGGAAAGGGTTGCACCTCTTCTTTCTCCCAGTCCCTCCAAACCAGGCTGCGCTTAAGTTCAAAGTAAAACTAGAACTTCCCAAAATCCCTCAACCAGCAGGATATGTCTCATCTTCTCGGAACAGCATCACTTGCCTTCCGCAAACCAACACATGTCCTTTGAACCGAAAAGCAAGCATTCCATCAACGGGGTCCGAAAAACACCAAAAGTAAAGGAGCCCATGCCACCACAGCTTCCGGGGATCCCTTAGCGCCGCATGCTGGCATAGCTGCCGGTGGACCCAGAGCTCCGGCTGCAACTCCGACGGCTGTGCCTTGCCCCTGAGCTACTGTTGCTGCTCCAGCTCCGACTCCGGCTGGTCCTGCTGTTGGAATAGCTCCGGCTGCTCCGGCTGGGAGAGGGACTCAAGCTACTGTACCAAGAGGAATAGCTGCTGATGCTGCTGGGAGAGGATGATGACGAAGGGCTAGGCCTGTAGTACGGGATCGGGCGCTTCCGGGCACTGCAAAAGAGAGGACGTTAAGAGTGCCAGTGGTTTGATAGCTTGGAATAGTATGACACATCACTTCATCTCACTGAACATGTCAAGTGTTTGGAAGAGTAAATTAACATACAGCTCAAGCATACTCTGTTTTGAAATAAAATGGATGATTTCCCTACCTCCATCACACACTAGCAAACTATCCATTTTATTCAGGAGTTCTCAGTTGAATTTCCATCACATTGTCAAGAGTTTGTTCCTGCCCACTGTCCCTTTGTGAAAAGAAACACCTCCTCTCCTAGACTATGAGTTTTGTTCCTGGGTGAGCAATGTCATTTCCTAATTGCTTCTATCATAAACACATGAGAAAAGTTTATTAAACTGCACTAACTTTGTCTTAGCAGGAGGGACATTTTACTCTAGTTTCTCAATGATTGAATATCTTGTAGTGTCCTCCAATTTCACAACAACTGGAGCACAACAATTACTTTCAAAGTAAGGATTACACAATTAAACAGAAAATAACACTGCAAACTAGGAACATATTTTATTTATTATTATTATTATTGTTATTATTATTATCATTATTATTATGTGTCATGAGCAACTTGAGAAACTGCAAGTCACTTCTGGTGTGCAAGAATTGGTTGTCTGCAAAGATGTTGCTCAGGGGACATCCGGATGTTTTGATGTTTTACCATCCTTGACCCTGCTTGGGGAGCTGGAGCTGACAGGAGCTCATTCGTGCTCTCCCCGGATTTGAACCTATGACCTGTTGGTCTTCAGTCCTGCTGGCACAAGGATTTAACCCAATGATGATGATGATGATGATGATGATCATCATCATCATCATCATCAGAGGCAGGATGACCATCTGTTGGGGGTGCTTTGATTGTGATTTTACTGCATGGTAGAAAGAAGGGGTTGGACTAGATGGCCCTTGGGGTCAACCTGGATAAGGAGGAGGAAAGGAAACTCTCCCTTTGCTACCATTCTGGCAATTCTCCCCCCTCTCTTTCCCCTTCCCTGTGGAAGAAGGAAGGAAAGAGGAAAAGAAGGAGAGGAGGAGGAGGAAACACATGACGCACACAACACAAGGAAGGAAGGAAGGAAGGAAGGAAGGAAGGAAGGAAGGAAGGAAGGAAGGAAGGAAGGAAGGAAGGAAGGAAGGAAGGAAGGAAGGAAGGAAGGAAAAGAAAGCCCCCAGAAAGTGCATGAAACAGAAAGGAACACAACATACTGCCGATCTTCCTTCCTCTGTGAGCAAAAGGTAATGGTGGATCTTTTTCTGAAATGGGCATTTTGGCACCTCCCACAAATTGCGTAGCCGTATCATTTTAAAGCTGAGAACGACAAATATAATCATATGACAGAATTGGCCATTTTGACCATCTCTAGCCAGATAATTTGCAAAAAGTCACTTGCCATCAGCTTAGAAAGCATTTGAAAAGATAACATTTTGCAACGCTTTCGAAACCCCAAGATAGATATCTCTACTCTACACTCGAAGCCTACATCATAGGATGAACACAACAGGTTGCCATTTCTTAAGTGGGCAGCTCAGTAGTATCGAATGAATGTGCTGAAGTGGTCAGCACATTGTTCCATGCTATGGGATCATGGGCATTGTAGTTTGGCAAGGTATCCAACCTCTTTGGCAGAGAAGGCGAAAGAGCTTGCAAAGCTACAACTCCCTGGGTTCCATCGCATTGAGCCATGGCGATGAAAGTGGTGTTGAGTTGCATTCATTCCACAGTGTAGACGCATTCTGGGCTTCTCTTAATGCAGTCGAGACAGCTGACGAATCATGTTGGAGAGCACACCTTGTGATGCGACGTGCCTCTAGGTGGCTGGGCGAATCTCTCCGGCGCTTCCTCAGTGGGGAATAAGATGGTTTGCGATGCCGGTGACCACGATGCCTGTGGGAGTCCTTCCCGGTGGAGCCATACTTGTGATCTGGTTCGCGGTCTCTGCGAAAAAGAGAATCCCACAGTGGGTCAACATGGCTCGGTTTTAGCCAATTAGTCTCCCATCCAAATCCCAACCAGGGCTGACCCTGCTTAGTTTACAAATCAGACGGGATCTGAGGCCTGTGTAGGGTATGTAGGGTATCTAAGGTACCACACTGCCCCTGGTAGGCCAAAAGTTGCTTTTGCAAGCCTGATGGCACACTGCATATCGCTCTAGAGCAGTGGTTCTCAACCTGTGGATCCCCAGATGTTTTGGCCTTCAACTCCCAGAAATCCTAACATCTGGTAAACTGGCTGGGATTTCTGGGAGTTGTAGGCCAAAACACCTGGGGACCCACAGGTTGAGAACCACTGCTCTAGAGAGAAAAGCAAGGCAATAATAATAATGATAATAATGATAATAATAATAATAATGCACAATTTCCTTATTTTTGTTGTTGTGTGCTGTCATTTTTCTAAGGTGATCCTATCACAGTTTTGGGTGGTGGGGTTGAGAGTGTTTGACTCGCCTAAGGCCACCCATTGGGTTCCATAGCTGAGAGGGGATCCGAACCCTAGTCTCCAGAGTCCTAGCCCAACACTCAGTTGGGGTGGTCAATCTGCCATACTTGAAAAGAGATCTCCAAGTTCAACACTGGTTGTGCGGATTGATTGGGTTCAGCTCCCTGGATCAGGCTTTCCAAGTTCTGACCCCAAACCCTCAAGGGGTGTGCCATATCCATACCTGCTGTATCGGGAATAGCTGGGGCTACGCTGTTGCCTCGAACCCCTGCTTTCGGAACCCCGCTTGTGTGACTTCGGTGAGTAGCTGGGAGAACGAGAATAAGACCTGGAAACAGAAGAAGAAGATGGATGGATCAGAGTGAGAGATTGAGGAGGTCTGAGACCTAAGGAAAAAGGATTATGTTTGAGGAGGAATCATCCAAAGCATTGCCTACTCAGTAAGAATTCTGTCCTCCAATGAAATTGTCCTTCTGTCCCCAAAGAGACAGTGCCTGTTATTGAGTGCTTCAACTCATTTCCATTTATGGTGACCCCATCACAGGGTTTTCTTGACAAGACCCATTTGGGGGGGGGGGGGAGGTTACCCTTGGGTTTTACTGAGGCTGAGACATTGTGACTTTACTCAATGACTTTTAGGGGTTGAGCATTTGTTTCCAGGAGTCCACACCCAACATAAAACCAACGATAGCAATCTGTGTGTGGTCCATAATGATAATAATAATAATAATAATAATAATAATAATAATAATAATAATAATAATGAGAAGAAGAAGGAGAAGACCTGGTCATGGCTCACAAACGGAACCCTGAAGAAGGAGACAGAAGGCCTGATTCTTGCAGCTCAGGAGCAAGCCATCAGAACAAATGCAATTAAGGCCAGGATCGAAAAATCAGCTGATGATCTAAAATGCAGACTATGAAAGGAAGCTGATGAAATCATTGATCATATCCTCAGCTGCTGCATGAAAATCAAACAGACAGACTACAAACAGAAGCACAACTCTGTGGCACAAATGATTCATTAGAACTTATGTCACAAGTACCACCTGCCTGTAGTAAAGAACTGGTGGGATCATAAACCTGCAAAGGTAGTGGAAAATGGACACACAAAAATACCGTGGGACTTTTAAATCCAGACTGACAAAGTTTTGGAACACAATACACCACACATCACGATTGTGGAAAAGAAAAAAGTTTGGATTATTGATGTCACCATACCAGGTGACAGTCACATTGAGGAAAAACAACAGGAAAAACTCAGCCGTTATCAAGACCTCAAAATCGAACTGCAAAGGCTCTGGTATAAACTAGTCCAGGTGGTCCCAGTGGTAATCAGCATACTGGGTGCCGTGCCAAAAGATCTCAGTCGACATTTGGAAACAATAAACATTGACAAAATCACGATCTGTCAACTGCAAAAGGCCACTTGACTTGGATCTGCGCGCATCATTTGAAAATACATCAAACAGTCCTAAATGCTTGGGAAGTGTTTGATTTTGCGATATGAAATCCAGCATATAGATCTTGTTTGCTGTGACATAATGTGTTTTTGTGTCAGTAAAATAATAATAATACTTTATTTATATTCCGCCCTATCTCCCTGGGGGTACTCAGGGTGGATTCCAACATGCGAAAAGGCAAACATCCAATGTCTTCATAAAACAAACAAACACCAACATAATAATCCCACATATGAGTACAACATTAGAACCTAACATCAATAAATCAAACAAAATATAATCAAACAAAAATTATATAATGGCATTAAATCTGAACATAAAACATCCAAAATTACTTTACAGGGGCCAACTAAGGTTCACAAAGTTGATTGTGTTGTCAGAGATGGTAGGTGGGCTAACATAGATTGACAGAGCCCAAATACAGTAATAGGTCTCAAACCAGAGGTCAGATAGTGGTCTCTCATTATCTAGTCCTCCTCCCTTCCGTATACTAGTGAGCAAAAATGAGTCTTCAGTTGTATTTTGAAGAAGAGGAGGGAGGGGGCTGTCTTTGTTTCCTCGTTCCCACCAGCCATATTTGAGATGGGGGTGGGACCGAGAGCAGGCCCCCCTTCGTTAACTGGTTTGTAAGAGAAGATGTGATTGGTCAAATAGCCTGGATCTGAGCCATTTAAGGCTTTAAAGGTAATGACCAACACTTTGTATTTAGCCCAGAAGCAGACCAGCAGCCGGTGGAGCTGCCGCAACAAGGGAGTACATCTCTCCCTGTATGGGGCTCCAGTTAGTAACCTGGCTGCTGGTTTCTGAACCAGTTGAAACTTCTGAACTATCTTCAAAGGCAGCCCCACATAGTGAGCGTTGCAGTAGTACAAATGGGATGTGACTAAGGTGTGGACTACCATGGGCAGATCAGGCGTCTCAAGGTATGGGCGTAGCTGGCGCACAAGCTTTAATTGTGCAAAGGTGCTCCTGGCCACCGCTGACACCAGGGGTTCCAGGCTCAGCGATGAGTCCAGAAGAACCCCCAGACTGCGCACCTGTGTTTTCAGAAAGAGTGCGACCCCATCCAACACAGGCTGTTATCCCACACTCTGATCCACCTTCCAACTGACCAGGAGTACTTCTGTCTTGTCTGGATTTAATTTCAAGTTATTAGCCCTCATCCAGTCCATCACTGATGAAAGGTATTGTTTTAGGGGCAGGGCAGCATCCTTGGCATTTAGTGGAAAGGAATAATAGAGTTGGGTGTCGTCCACATAAATTTGACACTGAACTCCAAAACTCTGGATGATCTCTCCCAGAGGTTTCATGTAAATGTTAAACAGTATGAGGGACAGAACTGAACCCCGAGGGGCCACAGGCCAGGGAGTCAAACAGGAGTCCTCCAGCTCCACCTTCTGGGTCCGATGCTCCAGGAAGAACCAGAGCCACAGTATCACAGTGCCCCCAAGCCCCATCCCAGAGAGATGGCTCAGAAAGATACCATCGTCGATGGTGTTGGAAGCCACCGAGAGGTCCAGGAGAACCAGCAGGGACACATTCCCCCATCTAGCTCTCTTTGTAAATCATCCACCAAGACGACCAATGCCGTCTCTATCCCATAGACAGGCCTGAAACCAGACTGAGATGGATCCATTTGGGTTAAAGATTAAATTCAAATGCGCTTATGGTTGATTTCCATTGGATACTGACCATAGGATTGCATTGCAGGACTTAGAGTTTCCGAGTTCATGATGCATTCAAAAACCAATGGAAAAAATAAATAAAAGTACAGCATGCCACATTCCAAACTTTCTTCTGTGTCATCATTCTATTTTGGACTGCCTGTTCTATGGGATGTTCACTTTGGAAATGGAGTTCTTCCTGTTTTCACTCAGCCGTGAACTCACCTTGTATCCGATGAACAGGATCTGCTATGGGATGACCTTGGACTGGCCTTGTGGTATGATGAATGGGACTGGCTAGACTCTGGAGATGACCGGCTTGAAGAGGACGTGTTTCGGACACAAGGACTAAGTGGAGAGCGATTGAAAGGGGCTGAGACGAGGCTGGCTTTCTTCCTCTCAGAATGGCTGAGCAATTGTAATGGCGTTTCTCTGGAAAGACACAAGGCATGTCCAGGAATGTTATTCAGGAGCTGGACAAGAGGGTTGCAAAACAAAATTCTCCAGCTCACTCTAGTGGTGATCCTTTCAATTCAGATCAGGAAGCTTTATGGCCCCCCTTTTTCTGGTTGGTGGTCAATAATTTTTCTACCCGTATGGGGAAGGCAAATTACTTTCCTCCCCCAATGTCACCGAAACCACTTTAAAGATAAAGCTTGGATGTTTACGGTCCAAATCCTGTATCCCCTTAGGTGGCATTGGTGCTTTTCCCTCACTGTCAAACATCCCTTGGCTTCTTCATGAGTTACATCAAAATCGGTAATATAGCCTCCAAAACATTCTGTAGGGTTATATATAAGATAGAGTTAGGATTTCATCAGATAGACTTCTGGCTCTGTTTCTATGTGCTTCATAAATGAAGCCCCACGGGAACCCCACAGAGGCCATCACATGACGCAAGGGCACTTGTGGAGGGACTCCATTTCTGCAGCGCATGGAAATGGAGCCAGAAATCCACCTGACTTCAAACCTAAGAAAGCAGGGAAAAGTAGGTAAAAGACAGAGAAAGAACGTGGGAAAGAACATTAGGCTTGTTCATTTTAGCTGAAACTCAATCCATTTCTGCTGGCTGGATTCCACTGACCCCATATTAATTTTTGTGTGCCTCCCAAAAATGTACAGGTAGCCAGATAACTTTTTTTGGTCCGCAACCAAAAAATACAGTTAGATCCAGCCCATTGGTGGCAATGGGGAATTTATAAGGCCTCCCCTTTCCATTCCTTGGACCCTTTTCTTTCTTCAAGGGAACCTGGGTTTCAGTAACAGGATTAAGAAAGTACCCTTTTTGGTACCCTTTCCTTTTTTCCCTTCAAGGGAGTCTGTGTTTCAGCAACCGGGTTAAGAAAGCACCCTATCTAGCTCATTAGGGGCAGGACTTCCCAGGCTCCCCTTTCTGTCATTTTAGGCATTGTTTGTCCTTATATCCTTCATTAAGACCTGGATTAAAAGCATCATACCACTCTTTCTGTGATCCTTTCCCTTCTGTCTGTAGAGGAGACCGGGTGTAATGCTTCATTAAAACTGCTTCTTTCTACTCTAGAGGAGACTAGAGGAGACAGGGCCCCCGATCTCTCCCTGCACACAGCTTTCCAAGGCATTTTAAGGAGGCTTCCTACTTCCCAGGGAAGAAAGAGTGGTTGATCTGGAGCTATCTCTCTGGGCTTCCTTTAAAAAGCCCTCTCTTTGCCCTGCCTGGAGTGGTGCCTTTCCCCTCCTCACAGCTTTCTGTGGATTCAACTTCCTTAAATCTGTTTCTACTTTCTACTCTAGGGGAGAGATAATGGTAGTAGTTTTCTGAGAATGAGGTTTTTCTTTTTGTTTTCTGGGATTATTTATTTATTTATTTATTTACTCTATTTGTATACCGCATATATCAGCCTGAGGCGGCGACTCAATGCGGTTTACAATAAAAGCAACACTAAACAATGTATGAGACACACAATACAGACAAACACATAATCATCAACGCCACACTTAGAATCAGATTCCGATCTCAAGATCCTTTTTCCATTCCTTGTCCGATGCCGTCATTATTGAGTTAGTTGTTACTACATGGTTATCCGAAAGCCTGCTCGTAGAGCCACGTCTTCACCCTCCTCCGAAACACCAGTAACGAAGGGGCCTGCCTGATGTCCACCGGTAACGCATTCCATAGCCGAGGGGCCACCACCGAGAAGGCCCTGTCTCTCGTGCCCGCCAGCCGCACTTGTGACGCCGGCGGAACCGAGAGCAGGGCCTCCCCGGAAGATCTTAACGCTCTTCCCGGTTCGATAGGAGGAGATGCGTTTGGAGAGGTAAGTGGGGCCGGAACCGTTTAGGGCTTTATAGGCTAAAGCCAGCACCTTGAATTGTGCCCGGTAGCGGATTGGCAGCCAGTGGAGCTGTTTCAGCATCGGAGTGGTGTGCTCCCTGAGTGCCGCTCCCGTTAGCAACCTGGCTGCCGAACGCTGGACCATCTGAAGCTTCCGGGCAGTCTTCAAGGGCAACCCCACGTAGAGCGCGTTGCAGTAGTCTATACGGGATGTAACCAGAGCGTGGACTACCGTGGCCAAGTCAGACTTCCCAAGATACGGGCGCAGCTGGCGCACAAGTTTTAACTGTGCAAATGCTCCCCTGGTCACCACCGAAACCTGGGGTTCCAGGCTCAGCGATGAGTCCAGGATCACACCCAAGCTGCGAACCTGCGTCTTCAGGGGGAGTGCGACCCCGTCCAACACAGGCTGTAACCCTATACCCTGTTCGGCCTTCCGACTGACCAGGAGTACCTCTGTCTTGTCTGGATTGAGGTTCAATTTGTTCACCCTCATCCAGTCCGACACAGCAGCCAAGCACCGGTTCAGGACCTGGACAGCCTCCTTAGTAGTAGGTGGAAAGGAGTGACAGAGTTGGACGTCATCTGCGTACAGATAACACCGCACCCCAAAACTCTGGATGATCTCACCCAATGGCTTCATGTAGATGTTCAACAACATGGGGGACTATACTGAACCCTGCAAGACCCCATAGGACAATTGCTGCGGGGCAGGTGTCCCCCAACAACACCATCTGGGTATGATCCTCCAAGAAGGACTGGAGCCATTGCAGAACAGTACCCCCAAGGCCCATTTCCGCAAGGCGTCCCAGAAGGATACCGTGGTCGACGGTATCGAAGGCCGCTGAGAGGTCCAGCAGAACCAACAGGGACACACTCCCCCTGTCAAGCTCACGCCGGAGATCATCCACTAAGGCGACAAAGGCTGTCTTGGTACCATGTCCCGGCCTAAAGCCAGACTGCGCCGGATCCAGATAATCAGTGTCTACCAAGAATGTCTGGAGTTGTGAGGCCACCACACGTTCCATGACTTTGCCCAAAAAGGGGAGATTGGAAACAGGCCGATAGTTGACGAATTGAGTGGGGTCCAGTGATGGTTTCTTCAACAGCGGTTTTATCACAGCTTGCTTTTAAGCTGGCTGGAATTTTGCCCTCCCGAAGGGAGGCATTAACCACCACCTTCACCCACTCAGCCAATCCCCCTCTGGCCTCCTTTAGAAGCCAGGATGGGCAGGGGTCTAGGATGCATGTGGTTGCTCTCATCCCTCCAAGCACCTCGTCCACATCCTCAGGTTTCACAAATTGAAACGAATCCATCAAAACCGGACAGACAGATGTTCTCGTCACATCCTCAGAGACTGCCGTTAACATGGTATCCAGACCTGAACGGATCAAAGCGACTTTGTCCGCAAAGAACCGAGCAAATGCTTCACAGCGGGCTGTCGAGTTGTCAGGGCTCCCATCCAAAGTTATTATTATTATTATTATTATTATTATTATTAATATTAATAATAATAATTTTCTTTTAGAAATATTTTCTGAAGGAGAGGAGGGGAGGATAAAAAGAAGCTAAAAGGGTGACTCTCCAAGCCCCCAAATGTGTGGGTGAACCCCACCCACCCCTCCCCTACGTTCCCAACTCCTAGTAAGTCCCACTAAATAAAAAGAATAAGAAAATAAAGGAAAACCAAAAAGATTCAAGAGAGAGGCCAAGCCAAACAATACACGGAATCCAGGACGCAACTGTGATGCCGAATAGGGAGGAGGAGCCATGATTGGTTGCCACGTAGTCCCGTTATGGACGGGAATCCATGATGGCTCGGCCCTTGCCAGCCGAAGAAGCCAAATTGGTTGAAGGAAAACGGCCAAAACAGATCCATGCACAACCCTACTGGCCATCTCAGAAGATGGGGAAAGACGGGAGGGAACAGGGTAAGACAGTTCTCTCTGCTTTCCCCTGCTTTCCCTTTGCCCTTATGAAGCCCTTATACATGAGATAGACTTATACATGAGATTGATTTCTACATGAGTATATACAATACACCATAGATTAATCAAGTCAGACTCATTGCCTTGGCTCAATGCAATGGAATCCTGGAAGTTGCCGTTTGGCGAAATACTTGTACTCATGAGCAGCCTTGTCAAACTAGGATTCTAATGCATGTATGCATGGCAGCTCACGGGGTGTCAAATTGCATGAATTCTGCAGTGAAGATCCATGCAAAGAGCACAGGCTCACCTTTGAGCTTTCTCTTGGATCTGTGGAGATGGGGCTGGATCGCCCAAGGCTGCTCCTTTGGTCCGGGAGAGGCAGCTGGTGAAGGAATTGCCAGAATCGGAGGTGCTCCCACCATTGGCCTTCCCAGGAGAGAAGGTCCGGTCAAAGCCATCGGGGACTGGGCAGTTGGCTTCTTCGCTGGCCTTTGACCTGGAAGCACTTGTCCGAGCGGATGGAGGGGAGGCGGTGTCATTCCCCGAGTCGTATTCACGGGGATCTCTGTTGCTTTTGGCTAACTGGACAAGCTGACCCTCTGCTTTTTGAGAAAGGTCAATAGAAACTCCAGCCTTTGAAATCTGCAAGCAAAAGAGCCATTTGGCCGGCGTTTAAAATAGAGAAAGATATATACAATACACACACACATATACACACATCTATATCTATATCTATATCTATATCTAGTCAGCATTAAGGGAGTGCATGTTAGCATTGCCTGTCTCTATCTATTTATGTCTATTTCATTTGACAAATAAACCAGTTTTTATTCTTATTATTGTTTTAAAAACCATTATGGTGCACAGTCTGTAATCAAAGGAAAGAAAGAAAGAAAGGCAGGAAGGAAGGAAGGAGGAACAGAGGAAGGAAGAAAGGAAACAAAGAAAGAAAGGCCAGAACGACAAAGGAAAAAAAAATACCCACATCTCCCTGAAAGAAAGAAGAAAATGTCTTTTTCTTTTCCCCGTGGATAGAATTGGGAGTTTCTTTCTTTTTTGTTTTAAAAAAGGCATCATGCAAAGAAGTTATAAGCATGCTATCCATCTTGAATTAAAGGGTTTGTTAAAAAAGTCAGAAATCAAAGCAGACTAGGAAACCAAAACCTTGTCTTCATTAGAACAGAAAAAAAGAAAGAATGAGAAAAAAGAAAGATCTTTTTTATTTTTTAAAAAGGGAAAAAAGACACATGTTTTAGAAATCAAAAGAAACCAGAACAAAAATCCTATGAGCACAATCCAGCTAAAGTGAAGCGCTTCTGCACCCCATTGGTTTCAGTGGGAGAGATTTAATCAGACATTAACATGATTTTCCATGTGAATCCACACAGTTTTTAAGGGTATGTGATCCAAAGGCTGCAATCCTATATTCTTATTTGAGCATTTATCAGCTTACATTAATACGAGAATTAAAATCCCAATGAATACCATGGGACTTGCTTCCAGTTTGCATCAGACTGAATTGGATGTTGAGTTTCATTTTGCTGCATTGAGTAAATCTGATCTACTTTTGAGTAAACCAGTGGTACCCAATTCAATAGTCACCATCTGCTCGCCCACAGAAAACCATATTTAATAAGCCTCTGCACTATAAGAGTGTTTCGGGAGACCAGTCGCTCTTAGTGCAATGGTGTAGTAACAGTGAGGTCGCAGACCATATTTTAGTTCCTGCAGACCACTGATGGTCCACGGACCTCAGGTTGGGAACCACTGGAGTAAATATACAGAACGAGATGAGGTTGGACTACAGCTCCCATCATTCCTGACAACGGGGCACATGGGAATCCAACCACCTCTGGTTCCTTTGCTGTAACTATCAGGACTTCACATTGGCTGGATTGTGCCCTATATATAATTATCTCCATTTTTTTAATATATATATCAATATATCTGTATATAAAAAGGTGTCCTTGTGAAGGAGGAGATGGGAAGACTACCACATCCATTCCAAACCAATATTTAGGAATGACATAAATTAAAAAATAAAGGAAACAAGCCAACAAACCTTTATAAACAAAATAATCATAGGGGAGAGGGAAAAAAGGAGAAAATCAAGGAAAACGACGACAAGTAACAAAAAAAAACTGAAACAAAAACCTAATGAAAAAGCAAAAGGCTCTCTGGAGAAAAAAGGCAGACATATTGCTTTGTGTGTTTTTCCCCTCGGAGAAGGTATAGCTAATAGGTTTTTTTAATTGTTTGAGTGACCGCTAGTAACAAAGCCCCTCTCGCCTTGCGGTTAGCATCCACTTACCAATCAAGATTTCCTCCTTTAGTAGGGTAAGGTGTAAGAAAAAGGGAAGAGCGGGCAACGTAAGTCCAACATTTAGAGTCTCAAACGACAAGAGAAGAAAAAGAAAAAGAAACCAAAAGCCATCACCCCTCTCTGCAATCCACAGCGCCAACCAAAGCATGGGTTGAGGCCTGATCTTAAAGGCTTGGCGAACTGCTTTCCAAATCCATTGCCTTCAAGTCAATGCCTTTGGGCCGGTTGGTTTTTACAACGCAATCGGCTCAAAGCATCATCACCTTTCAGCACAGACAACAATGAGAAAGAAATAGAAAAAAAAATATCATGAGGAAGGACTCCTGGGGTCACCAGATACTTGGGCCTCAAGCGGCTATGTTTCCCAATATCGTCATGGAAAAAAGAAGGCAATCCTGGCTTCTATTGGAGGCATTTGAGCCTCCCTTCCCCTGATCCTAGACTGGTTGGACTCCAATGGTCCCAGCATTGGCACAGATGGACTGAGACATCTCAGTCCACTTGGCTGAGCTGAATCCCACTCATCAACTTACTACATTTACTTAGAGAGAAGAAATGAAATGACCTGATATGGGACAGGTGACACTTGGCTTGGAAATAGTCCATTTAAAAGGGATCTTGGAGTCTCAGTGGAGTACAAGCTGAACTTGAGTCAACAGTGTGATATAGTAGCTAAAAAGGCCAATATGATTCTAGGCTGCATCAGTAGTATAAAGATAATCATAGTCCCGCTCTTCTCTGCTCTGTTGGTCATCACCTGAAATAACCCTGTGTCTACTTCTGGGCAAAACAATTCAATAAGGATATGGATAAGCTGGAACAGGTCCAGAGAAGGGCCATTAAAATGATTCAATGTCTGGAAACCAAACTCTATGAGGACCATCTTAAGAAGCTAGGGTGTCTGTTTAATTCAGTGGTTCCCAACCTTTTTTGACCAGGGACCACTTGACCAGGGACCACTTTGACCAGGAACCATTCTCCAACATTAGTACCAAAAGGGTTACAAATCAGTTTTTGGTCAACTTTAGATTCAGATTGGCTATTTGGGGTGCTGATTCAGAAGACTGCATTGGATAGACCACATCAGCTCTAGTTTCTGATACAGAACATATGCCATCCTGTAGTCTCCATCTGCTCGCCCACAGAAAACCATATTTCATAATCTAGAGCTGATGTGGTCTATCCAATGCAGTCTTCTGAATCAGCACCCCAAATAACCCCAGGAACAGGCCTAAAAACGAAGACCCCCAAGACGTCCTCGCTTCCAGGTGCCACATGGAATGGCTCCGCTTGGTGGGAGGGAGGAGGAGAAGCAGCAGGAGGCTTGTTGTCGCAACCTTTGTGGGTAGTCAGCCTCCCCTTATCAACATCCCTGTTGTCTCGGCACCAGGGCCAGCCCTAGGTAATTTTCAAGTGTAAGCAAACAGTATTTTGGTGCCCACCCGCAAACCAATCACTGAAAAATAAAAGGTAGAAGGTGACACAGCTGAATAAAATCCCACATTTTCTGCTTTGAACTGGGATATATGGCAGTGTGAACCCAAGGCCCTTCCACACAGCCCTATATCTCAGAATATCAAGGCAGAAAATCACACATTATCTGAGTGTGGACCCAGTTCAAAGCAGATATCGTGGGGTTTTCTGCCTTGATATTCTGGGATATAGGGCTGTGTGGAAGGGCCCTCAGATAACCCACTTCAAAGCACCTTTTTGCTCACAGACTTGCAAACCTCATTAGGCGCACTTATACTAGGTCCACCAGGGGAGGGGGACATCAGCCTTGTGAACAGTACTTTACCCACAATGTCAGGGAACCGCCAGAAGGCTAAACAAAGGGCTGCACAAACACAGTAATGAAAAAGTACCGAAAGCACAATAAACAGCTCAGGGGAAGATCTCAGGGGCTCACATGTCTTTACACTAATGCACAGAGCATGGGAAATAAATAAGACGAACTCCAACTTTTAGCACAACACCACAAATATGATGTCATAGGCATCACTGAAACCTGGTGGGATGACTCCTATCGCTGGAATGTAGACATCGAGGGCTATAACCTCTTTCACAAAAAAAAAAAAAAGGGAAGAGGAGGTGAAGTAGCCTTATATGTCAAAAACTGTTATGCTGCAGAAGAGATGCAAGACAGCAATCCGGGAAACCAGCTTGAAAGCATCTGGATAAAAATAAAGGGAACTAGGACTCAAAAAGATCTCATTGTCAGCGTCTACTACAGACCTCCAAGCCAGGATGAAGAACTTGATGACGTCTTCTGCCAACAGTTGACCAAACAGGCACAAAGAAGAGATATAGTAGTTATGGGCAATTTCAACTATCCTGATATTTGTTGGAAAACAAACTTGGCCAAGAATACAAAGTCCAATAAATTCCTCGCTTGCCTCGCAGACAATTTCATGGTCCAGAAGGTAGAAGAGGCAACAAGGAGGTCGGCTACTCTCTATCTCATCCTAACAAATGAGGAGGACCTGATCAATGCAGTTGAAGTGGTCAGATCCTTAGGGGCAAGTGACCATGTGCTCCTGCAGTTTAAGGTACAAAGGAAGGCCAAAACCAGGACAAGGCAAACCCGCATTTTGGACTTTAGGAGAGCTGACTTTTGAAAAATGAAGGAAATACTGAGCAGCATTCCATGGACACAAATACTAAAAGACAAGGGAGTTACGGATGGATGGGAGTTTTTCAAGAGTGAAAAACTCAAGGAGCAATTGCAAACAGTGCCAACAAAGAGAAAAAATAGGACAAGTGCAAAGAAGCCAGAATGGATGTCCAAAGAACTTCTAACTGTGCTAAGACTCAAAAGGGACATGCACAAGGAGTGGAAAAAGGGAGAAATCATCAAAGAAGAATTCAAACAAAATGCCCACTCCTGTGGGGAAAAGGTTCACAAGGCTAAAGCACAAAACGAGCTCAGGCTTGCCAGGGACATTAAAAACAATACAAAGGGCTTAATTCTTATGTCAGTAGAAAAAGGAAGAACAAGGAGGCGATAGGGCCTCTTCGAGGAGAAGATGGGGCAATGCTGAAAGGGAATAGGGAAAAGGCAGAACTACTTAATGCCTTCTTTGCCTCGGTCTTCTCACAAAAAGAAAGTCATCTTCAACCTCTGCAAGATGGAGTGGATGAGGGATTAGAGACATCCAACCCCAAATTGGGAAACAAGTCGTCCAGGACTACCTGGCTACTCTAAACAAGTTCAAGTCCCAAGGGCCAGATGAACTACACCCAAGAGTATTGAAGGAACTAGTGAAAGTCATCTCGGAACCATTGGCAATCATCTTTGAGAGTTCTTGGAAAACGGGAG